AAAAAGCTGAAAAACTCTTATGATAGATCATTCGGTGTCTGACCAATCCTAGTGTTAAACTGCTGCATGAGTACTTGTCTCTTGTCCTCATAAAGCAGTTTTGTTCTAGTTCAAAATTTTACAACAAACCAAGTTAGAACCGCAATAACCAACAGAAATTTGATGATATATTAGGCTGGCCCAAACGTAACTGTAAATTTATGAATTTCCCATTTCCAACCTGTCATAGGTTAGCAGTAAGAAAATGATTACCCGTTAAATTAAAAGATATTTAGAAAAGACTGTCCGTAATACTGCAAATTATGACCCCGTGTTTCTTCTAGTTTTACTCTTGATTTCATCTCAAGCAAACTTAAAATATGCAAGCTTCCTGCGGACTCTCACTTTCTGTTAAAAAAAAATGAGTTAATGTTGTTGCTCCTAATCAGAAATAGAAGCAGTAATCTCCCAAATCAACCTTACGTCTCAGACTGTTCATCAGTAGTTAAAAGTCTATACTGCCCCTGTCAAGAATAAGCGATCTGACCAATTTCTTCGGAAAGATGAATTATACAAAACGGTCACTGAGTCTTGCAAGCGCGAATCGAACATCTTAAACTAGGAATCCTAATGATGGGCCAAGCAACTACGCTGTGGACAAGTTTTGGGAAGAAAAAATTGACTTCTGAGATGGATTGACATTCCGAACGTAAAAAGGTCTTCCTTGTTATTGAATCTTTACAAAAGTTCAAAAAATACAAACCTTTCCATTTCTTCCAAACCCGTAGGAAAATTTCAAAAATTTAAAGGAGAAAAGGAATAGAAAGATTAACTTCAATTTGCCGGAATAGATTGTTTCGGACTGTATATGCATAAATGAGTAGCGTTTCCGGTGAACTCCAATATTTCATCTCCCTGCGAGAACAGTTGGTCAAGTAAACTGCTATACAAACACTGCGTCCTTTCTACTTCGTTCTTACAATAAATGTGGTCAGAAAAATTCATTTCTAGCTTCTTCAAATGCGATAACGTTTTAGAATGCCGCACAATAGCAGTACAACTGGTGAATCACAGTTTTCCAACGTGAACAGAACTATACTTACTGAACTAACTTACACAATTGCGTGATAGGAACAATAACCTCAACATGAACTCCGACTACTAGAAAAAATTCAACTTCCTTCGACGTAGTACAGTGGACTCAATTAAGTACGATTTTTCGAAAAAAAAAAA